CAGCCGCATACTTTGGCGGCAAATATCTTATGTTCGCTTTTCCGGGCTTTTATTCCCCCCCCCCCCCTATCCCGAACGCCCCAAGCCGGGGCCGGCGCCCACAAGCCGACCGGGGGGGGAGGAAGTGCCGGCAATCGGTGCTCATCCCCCCCCCCCCCCCCCCCTAGTCAGCCGCGGTGTGGGCGCGGTCGCTTGCGGGACGTGCGCGCACCCAGCCCGGGGTGAGGGAGGCATTCCGGCCGAGGGCGGCGGACGGGGGCGGGGGACCCTCTGCCCGACGCCCGCCCGCCCGCCGGGGACAAGCGTTCTGGGAAACTGGCGGCGCCTCTGACGCTGGCGGCGCCCCCTTAGTCAGGCTGCCCGGGGGCGTGTGTGTGTGTGTGCGCGCGCGCGCGTGCGCGCGGCTGCCGCCCTGCCGCCCCCCTAAAGGGGCCCGGCTGCCAGGCCCCGGGCCGGGAGGGGCCCTCCCCCCAGAGAAGACCCTCCCCTCTCGACCCTTTTCTTCGCATTTCACGGTCCCCCCTGCCAGACCAGAGAGACCCCCTCCCCTTTCCTCTCCACATCCCCCTCCTTCCTCCTTCTCCCCCCTACGGACATGTGCGCGCCGTTCCCCCCCCCCCTGGCCACCCTCTTCGCCGTCGCTCCCGCCGCCCCTGTCTGACGCCCAATGCCCCTCGCACTGTGTGCTTGAACACCCGGCCTGTGCATATGCAGTCCCTGGCGCACCATCGGCGCCGCTCCCTCTGCTCTCCCCTCGCCCGGTCCCTCCTCCCCTCCCCCCACGAACTTCGAGGGATTCGTCCACCACACGAACTCCTTCCGAGTGTCGAGCGTCACCTTCTGTGGCCGTGCGTCGTTTGGCCGCCCCGCCCATCATCCCCCTCCTCGCCCCGGTGCTGACCGTCGCCCTTCCCCCCCCTCCCCGCTCGAGCAGCCTGACCCGCACCCGCTGGGTCTGATTACGCAGCCACCATCACCCAACCAGCAAGTCGCAGGTGTGTTTCCGCCATCCTCCCCCCCCC